GGGGGGCTACAGTGTTTGATACCATGTATAATGCATCAATTCTAATGGTTACACCCACTGAATCTAGATATAATAATAGACGTAACTCAAACCCTGCAAAGTATGCCACTAAACATGAAATTACACACTTATATACATTTACCAATATGGTTAAACAGACATTAAGCATGCAAGATAGCTCTTCATATTTACTAGAAAAGCATTGATCATTGACAGATGCGGATAACAGTCAATGAAATAATTAGATACGCGGTACAAAAAAATAAATAAATAAATAAACACCTCAAAGAAACTTGACTTACATCCTCTTTCTCCTCTCTCAGTTCACGAATTCGTTCTTCCTCCAGCCATTTGGCCTGCTCTGCCAGTTTCCTTTTGTAAGCACTTGTAACAAACTTATCTTTATCAGCGTAGACGTGCTCATCTTTGCTTCTCTCTTTGGATAGTTTTTTCTCGTAAATTATCTCGTGTTCTCGTTCTCGTATTTTAGCCTTTTCAATAAGTGCTTGAATATACTTTGGCTGCAAACAATAAAAAATTTGAAAAATTAATAAGAAATAAAACATTTAAGTATGATGTTTTAATAAATTTATGGCATTTCTTGCATGGGTGGTTAAGTTAATGTTGTATCATACAACAAAAATGCAAAGTCGGAACCAATACCTTTCTATCTTGGCGGTCCTGTACTACGGGCTGTACTGATTTCTCCTTCATTTTATCATACACTCCATCATACTCAAACACTGATGGATCCTCTTCAAGAGCCTTCTTATGCTGCTCTTCAATCTACAGAAAAAGAGAGTTTAAAAGAAGATCCTTTCTCATAAATATGGATCTAAAAGGAAAGATAAATTAAGTAAATAGAACTTTTTTTTTTTTTTAAAAGAGAATTGACTCACATCTTTGAGAGATTTGTTTTTAGAGGCTTGGCGCAAAATGTCTCTCTCAACAGAATCGTCGTCGTCGTCGTCAAAACCAAGTGGAGTAGGAAGGGGAGGTCTTGTGGGCTGCTTTTTCTGCTGGGATGGTGGAACTCTAAGTTGTAATCCGTACTTCTTCGTATTACTCATTTTCCTCTCTTGGTGAAATTTGTAATGACTGAAATTAATAATTTGATCAATAAAGAAATTTGAGAATTATTGCAAAGGAACTAGGAACATCATAAGCAATAACAATGTTTCTCCATATTGAGCATTCAATTGACAGACATTTCCTAGAACTCAACATCCAACACACGCAGAAAGCTGCAGAACAGAGCAACACACCAGTATTAAAACCAATCTTCGGACCCAATTAAGCAATTACAATAAAGATAAAACATCTCTTAGCAAACTAAAAAGCTAACTGCAAGAAAAATAAAGTACACATAACACTATCTATCAAAAAACGTGTGCAAAGTTTGAAAAAAAACTTTAAAAGACTGAGTATTCTGCCAACATAGAAAAGCTTATAAATTGGATTAGGTATCTGTCAGAGATTAGTGGGAATCAATTAAAATAAAAGCAGGGGAAAAAGAAGCTTTTATATATTGCAGAAGCTAGCAGAAAAAACAATTTGTTAACACAATCTTTTTTTTTTTTTTTTTACTGCCGGACTTATTTCAATTTTTTATAAATTAACATCTAATTCATTGAAAAATCATGATTAATAGTTAATGTCCAAAATAAGTAGTAAGCATCAATATAATGGAAGTTGCATAGAGTTAAGTCTTTAAATTTAATGTCCTAATGCGCATGGCCAAGACTCAAAGATTCAAGGTTGATATTAGCTATTATGCGTCGTAATTTGGCATGATATTAAATAATTAACGAGACCTTTTGTTCTTTTGTCTCATGGGTTTACTGATGGTTGTGCCTAGCTGAAAAAAGAAAACTAACTGGATCTAGAAAAGCGACAATTAAATTCATTTTAAATGAATCCATCATTAATCTAAATCCAAGAAACAATTAACGGGTATAAAAAGTAAAAATACCACAAGATTATGATATTCTGAAAATCATATAAAACACTTAACTGAGAGGAACTCTGCTGGTGGTAGCCGGAGACTGCGACAGACAGAGACGGCGAGTCGGAGAGCGAAATGGTTGTAGTTTGCTGTGTTCGAGGCTTTGATATTATTTAAATAAGAGAAAATTGCAGCCAAGTTACCAAACCTTTTACTTAGTAGCAAACTTGATCCAAACCTTTTATTTGTGTCACCGTAGGTGCCAAACCTTCAAAAAAATCATAACTCAAGTCCAGATTGACGGTTTCCATTAGTTTGACTCCAGAAACCGTCAATTAACCCCCAAAATTAAAATTTTAATAATTCTGATAAAATAAGACAAAAGTAAAATGGTCACTTTACCATTTTACTATTAAAAATAAAAATAAAAAAGGAAAAATTGTTCATTTCCTTCACAAACCCTCAACCCCATCCCCCTAATCCTACCAAAACAAATCTACAATTATCGTCGCCAATATCACCACCTATCGTCGCCAGCCACAGCCACCTACTGTTAGGAGTATCAATTTTGCCCATTGTGACTCACTTGAAAAAAGCTTGATCTGACCTAAAAAATAATAATTTTGAAATGAAGGTAGTTGCTACCTTCAAAAAAGCAGCGTGCTGCTGCCTTTTAAGGCAACATAAACAATTTGCACATAGACAACTACTTAGGGCCCGTTTGGTAGGGATTTTGAGAATTGATTTTTTGACCGTTAGAAGAAAAGTGGGGTCCACATGTGAGAGAAAAAGTCAAAAATTACGGCTTGAATAGTAAAATAACGCTCAAAAAATCATTTTTTTGGGGCAAAAAATCCCTACCAAACGGGGCCTTAGCTAATAGTGTTTTATCATTAATAAAAAAACACAAGCTAGCTTGACTCAGCCAGAGCCAAAAGCTCAGTCAAGTCAAAATTTTTTGATCGAGTAAAAGCTCAACTCGGACAAAAAAAACTCGAACCATTTTTACTTGGGTCGAGCTCGAGCATTAAGTTTTGACCCGCGAGCTGACTTGACTTGGCTGGTTGACATCCCTGTCAATTGGATCGAACGACTCGATTGCTCAGCTCATGGGCTCGTCAAAAATATAAAGAAAAGTTTGAAATTTTTCCAATATATATATATAGAGAGAGAGAGAGAGAGCTCATGAACTCACAAGCTCGTGGGCTGAGCCAAGCTCACCCCTTGAGAAAGAGCCAAGCTCGTCCCTTGAGAACTTGCCAAGCTCGTGGATTTAAGGGTCAAGCCGAGCTCGGCTCGACCTATTACCACCTCTAGAAATCCCTACCCACTGTCATTTCCCACAACAACAACCAACCTATCAAATCAATCTACCATTTTCTCCCTCAACAACGACCCTTCACGTCCTTTAACCAAATTCAATCCATGCCCAATGATCTTGGATATGCGGTCAAAAGCATGTTTCGCGGTGGAACTCTATCCAAATGATGCCTAGTAGAGGCCACAATGAAGGAGCTTATTGTCCACACTACAAGTAATTTTAAGCCCCATTAGTGTAAAATGATTCGGGCATGCTCCCATCATTGGTTTGGGCTCCAATATTATTCCCCATTATCATCATCATTAAC